GGGGGGGGGAGAGGGGGAGTAAATAGGCAATAATGAAAGAAAAGAAAAAAAGACGAAGACAAAATAAAAAGAAGACAGAAAGAATGAGAAGAGAATAGAAAAGATGAAAGAAAAAAGAAGAAAACGAAAAGATATGAGTCAAAGCGATGAGTACCACCGCACCTTAATAAGAATCTTCATCATTCTAAAAATTCAAGCCACTAAAGGAGTAGGCATTGATGCCTTTCACAAAAAAGTTTGATTCGTTTCATTTAATAAACATGAACTACGTAATCGCTTTTCCTTTTAAAAAAAGTATCCCCAATAGAAAATATTGTTGTAAAAGGTCGAGCGATTCAAGTTAGATTTTTTAATTCGAGTTACTCTTTTCTCTATATATCTTTATATATATATATATATATATATACATCTAAGTTATCTTTTTTTATTATTTTGTAAAATATTCCTTGCTCTCACAAAAAGACAGCGATGAACCAGATTTAATCCGTTTCTAAATTTTCTTGGAAGAAGTTCTTTTTTAGTATGACGAAGCATTGGATACAGTGGAAATATCCACGCAGAATATGAGAAACTATATGCGAGAAGACAGCTCTGCGAGACATTTTTTGATAAGCTTTTATCGCTTTTTATTCATTTTAATTTCATGAAAATTCTTTGGATGTTTTCGAGTGCTCTATCAATCGTTGATTTCAATGTCATCTTACTTGTTAAAGTGAACCCTAAATATTTAAATTCTTTAACTAATTATAATTTTTGGCCCTGAATATATATCTCGACTACCGTATTTTGTACCTGTGAATGAAAGATCTCCACGACCATCTTTTATATATTAATCGGTTGTTTATACTTCTTGGAATAGTGAGCTATTTTCTTACATATATTTGTACCTTCTTCTTCTAAAAACTTAATCATCGGTTGAAGCTTTCGAGATACTGGTGATGCTATAAGCATGTTAAGATCCTCAGTAAAAATATGGCTAGAGTGTGTACCTATACATGAGACGAGATCACAATGATTAACAATGAATAGGTATGGATTCAACTACTGCCCTGCAATAGGCTAATATGAATGCAGAAAATATTTCAGTTACGTTCCCCAAAATAAACGTAGGCATTGCGATTATTTAGCTATAAAACTATTAACTTCAATAATCTTTGTTGTATATCTATTCTGTTCAACTTAACAACAAGACCTTCACGATAAACTTTATCATAAGCCTTTTGATAGGCAACATATATTGTTAACGTTGAAATATTCTCTGCCATATTGTTTTTAACCTCTTGACATATCGATAGAATTCTGGTAGACAGCAGACAGCCAGGACGAAATCCTGGTTGTTCCGCAAATACTACATTATTTGTTTCTACCTAATACTTTACCCTATCTAACATGATCTTTTCAAATAATTTAGCACGAGTGGCTAAGAGTGAGATTGAATGTGTTTGATCGCAACGTGAAGCACCTGCCTTTAATTTATTTAACATGATTATCTTAGCTATAGTTTCCAAAAATCGGGATATCTATATTTATTTATCCAGTTGTAGAAACAATTGACTAAACAGCTAATATAACCTGGTGGAACTCTTTTTGATCATAAAATTAGAGATCGTGTCGAAGCCTGAAGATTTTTTCAGTTTCAATTTACCAATATGTTTTTTAATTTCTCTCTCGTTCGTCAATTCAATTTTATCAATCGATATGGCTAATTTATTCATTGACTCAAAGTATCCTGTTTCTATTTCAACTTCAGGAGAATTTGGGAAATCTATATCTTGTTCTTTGAACTGATTCGAATAGTACTAGTACAGTTCATTACTAATTTCGTTCTCTTTTATCCATATTGCTATACCTGTATTCAGTTTTGAGAATCGTAGTGATTTTGGTCTATTCATTCAAGATAGGTATTGCCAGAATGCTCTTTCCTTGTTGTCATGCGTTTCTTGAATTTTTGATAAAAACTCCTGCCATTGATTCGATTTAAATTTTCCAATCTCAATTTTTACTTCTCTAGTTAATACTCTCAGTAAAACTGTTGAGTATATTTCTTACTCTTTTTACTTCGTTGAGTCTTTCAGTTAGATATCGAGGTAGTGATGGTCGGAATTTATATTTTGCTTTCAATTCCATGAGTCTGTTTTTTAAAGCAGCAATAACAGATACGATTATTTAGTAAAACCTATTCCTAAGAAATAGGTACCATAACGTAACTCTTTCAGGATTAAAATATAAAAATGATGAAGCCAATTACAATGTGAAATACAGGTGTCGGTCACATCTGTAAAAAGGAGAGAGAATCGAGATTTCTGAATTGACATAGTAAAACATGTCTTTTAGGTTGTGTTTCACGAAAAGAGATTATTTAATACGTGATCTTTGTCGAAAGTTAAAATGTATTTTTTAAAGAATAAGATATACAACAGTGTTCATATCTTGTTGATACTTCGTTCGTTTCATCTTTACGGTCCATTGAACAATAATTTTCAGGTTTATAATATTTATTCCGTATCCTTTTTCTAGTATGTTCATAGTATTAATGAATAAGTAAGTTAAATAATACTTGTTCCAAAAGCGTGATTGAGAATAGGAAAACGACAGAAAAATGAATGGTATGTTGCTCTTTAATACATACTCGCTATCATAATAGATAAAAAGTAATACCATCCACGTTACTTGCCTGTTTTTTAAATATCTTATCAAAAGAAAGTAGTCACACAAATACCTTTTATTTTAGTATATTACTTAGAAGATATATTATTCACAAATATTCAAATTGAATAGTTATAATCACTTAAACTTTGACAACAAATATGAGTGTAGTAATCTTAAGGATGTAAGAGTAAATAGATATTATATTTGTTCGACGTTTTCACATTTATCCACATTCTCTCAGTGTTCAAATTCCATTAACAGTATAACAAAATAAGATACTCTGTAAGCTCATATATCGTTATAAAGATTTATTCATTATTGACTTAGATTTTCACCTACCCTCAAAAAACGAGATATGGCACAATTGATAACTATCACAGTGTATTTATAGTTACAAAGAGTATTTGTAAATCCAGCATTGAATGGAAACTGTTGCTTGAAAAACTTTCGGACATTGCAAGAGCATGCAACATCGTTGAAGTATCTCATCAATGTCAAGATAATTATGCTGAAGCCTTGGATTATTGTGAAAAAATACTTTTAATTCAGCTAAATTCGTTACGTGAAAATCATCCAAATATTGCAAAGGCATACAATAGGGTATGGGTGGCTGTGGATGTATATATATAAGAAGCGCACAGTCTCAAAAATCATTTCACACATATCCATTCTAAAGTTCCATCTATATCAATACCAAGTAATTTCATACGCATTTACACCAAAATTCTAGAATTGTCAAAAGTTTATCTATATCATTATGGAATTATTTCATATATTTTTGTTCTAAAATTCTACAATGCAGCTCAATGCGCACCTCGGTATATGGAAATATTTATATGATAGGTACATTTGTAAGGCTAAAAGTAGAATTCTATGAGAATTCTAGAATATTAGACCAGAATCAAATCTCGTTTATTGATATACATATACTGATTTAGTCAAGTAATGAAAGCTTAAATAAGTTATTCCAATAAATTGAAATAGAAATCATGCTATCTAATTGAGTTGCATTAAAATATTTCTCAGTTTATACATGAATTTTCAGGTAAATCATAATCAATTTAATTAGCTGATGAAATATCTTCGATATTATTTTAAATTTCTAAAAAAAATAGAAATATTAATAAAAAAGCGTTAAACGAAATATATGATACTATTACTATTCATGAACATCTTGTTTTTACATTCTATGTTTGATTTCTTTTTTATAATTATTACTCTTTTATCTTAGTAATTTTGCGCTAGATTTATAAATGTAACAGAATAATTTAAATCGACAAATACTGATCCATTCAATATAAATTCATACTCGTCTAGTATTTAATATTTCATCATATATATTTTTGGTTGACTTTTTTCATAACATATATATCACCATAAATAAGCTAGCACCCCTGCTATCGATATGATATTCATAGTACGTTATGTTCTTTAAAAAAAGTTAACGGTGCATTTTGTATCAAAACTATTTAATATTCTATAATATTCATTTAGTTAAATTTGAATTGAAACAAAATTTATGAAAAGTATGAAAAGCATAATTTTACATAGAATATCGAAAAAAAAACTAATTGAGATTGCAACAAGAAGATATTTAATAGAAGTGAATCGAACATTATTCTATTCGATGGATTTTATTGTTCATACAATTACTCTTCAGTAAGTATTGACAAACAATCTCATATTTTATCCTTCATTATTCATACCATCACTCAATATATAAATAGTAAAAACTTGAAGTAAATAAATGTAATTATCTAGAACTGGATAATATCAAGCATAATCTATACTTTCAATATCTAACAAAACTTTTACTATATATTGAGAGTGAGTAGAATATATCAATAATCATATCTATATATTGGAAGATTTATTATACAGAAAAATAAAGAAAACACTGATTACATTTAAACTAAACAAAAGACTAACAATATATCCACTCAGGATGATCTTTCGGTCGACATTCTTTTGGACATTCTCCAAATGGCATTTTCCCAGTCCCACAACATGGTCGTACACAACCTACAAAACAGTTTGTTTCATTAGCTGATGGTCGTTGTGTTGGAAATGCTTCTGATTTATGTCCATATCCATTTTTACAAAGAAAACTATCATGCACAAT